TTCACTCTTTGTTTTTGAGACCATACCATGCAATGAGTAATTGTAATGCAGAGAAAATAGCTGTGCTATTTAGAGACATGTAAATACTATCCATTATATTATGAATCCACTACCTTAAAAGAGCTCCAAGTTACAGACAGAAATGTCAAAAATAATTACAACTGTCCCCGGTCTCCCCTACAACACAATACAAGACAATACAATCTTACATAAACAACAGTGTCCAACAGAGTCAGAGTCCTTGTGGGCGAGAGTTTGTGGTGTGCAAATGGGGGTGGAGCAGTCAGTGAAAGGGTGATGTTCAGATTTTTGTATGTCGGGGGTGTGAGGGGTTTCAGAGGGAAGAGGTGAATGCAGGTCTGGAGTTCATTTGAGAGTTGAGAGGCGGCAGTTTACTCTGTTTTCAATGTTCTGAGAGCACATGTGCTTTGTTATCCACAGAGGCCACAAGATGGCAGTATTCGAAAAGATGGATGCAAACAGGCAAGAAGCTTACAACAGGCTAGAGAGATAATTTTCACTTTGGTAGGTTTTAGTTGGTTTTCTTGTTTACTTGAGAAGCACTGCTGCATTGCTTGCTCTGATGGGATAACATTAATTTACTGCTAGCCTAGCAGCCTAGCACAGGCCAATTTTTCCCTTTTCAGGGATGTGGCCTCATTGAGAGACAGGTGGGAGCTAGCTCAGGTTGCTCTATCTGCTGGCCTTCACTTCATTAGACCTCCAGGCCATGTTTTTGCTGTTTGTGCCCTCTGAAGCATTTAACCCAATTATCTGAAAAATAATATGAGTGGCTGTGCAGTTGATTGTATTGACCTTTTTATTTGAAAGCTTTCCCAGGCTGGATTTAATTGACATCAAAGGTATCTTTTTCTGGGGGAATTGCACAAAATACACATAATTTTTATTTTATTTTTTAGTTTGTAAGGTGAAGCAATTGTGAAAGTGCCACCTTTATTTTTCTGTTGAGTGAAAATAGTTCATGTTTCCTTTAATTCAAAATCTAAATAAACATTGTTCTTATGAGTCTAAATTGTGAGCTTAATGAATACTCTCTGTGCATCTACACCATCCTGGGGAAAGTATTTGGCTCTAGTGATGAAGAAATAAAGTGGCTCTATCCAGGAAATGGTTATTTGTATGTTACTTTATTTATGCACAGGTCACAGCCTGCCTAAATCTTCCTTAACTGGAGCCAGGTTACGAGAGCCTATTGGACTGCAACTAAACTACAACCAAAACATTTTCCAAAGCACCCTACAAACCCCAGTTTGTGCCTCTCATTATGAAAAAGTGAAATTATTCAAGGTAACAAATGGTCCATGTTTAACCGCTGATGCTGATGAATGTTTGGTTTTTACCCTGATTGATCTTCGTTCTTAGTTTCAGCTTTGGTTACTGGTGCTGGATTTAAATTGTAAAAACATTCTGCATAATCTGCGTGTTTGAACCAATATTCAACCCATTTCTCGAGTTATTTCAGAGCAGAGCAGAACGTGTTGTATAAAATGACGGCATGGTGAATTACATTTCAGAAAGACTGATGATCACCTCTCACTGAAACAGATGACAGGTACAAATTTTGGGGGGCAAAGTGTGAGGTTTGCTCTTATATTAATCATTCTGATATGGTTGTTTTTGACGAGTTATTTAATTCTAAAGAAAGGGCGTGTGTTACCAAGACTTACAGAAACATAAAGTCATCACAGAGGCATCTGGAGTCCTGATTGCATTCACACACTTATGGATGAAAATTCCATCATCCTATTCACGTAGCAGCTCGGTATTTTCGTCTCTGGTTCCGCAACACCTGACGTGGACCTTGTTAGAGTTCTCTCTCTGCGTTAAGCTTGGTTAGCAAGGACCTTTACTGGATACAAAAACTGCAGGTGAGAATTAATTAAACCTGCAACTCCTATTTTAAAGGCATGTAGTCTTACCACTACACTGTCCAGCTGCTTTTATTCCTGCTTTTATTTCTGTTTATTCATATATGCATATATATATCTATATTGTAACAGGGAGAGTGTATGAAATAAGATCTGCCTAAATAAAATGGCATATGTTACATTAAAAATAGAAAAGATGTGTGATAAAGGTACGCCTAGCCTGCCTCCAAACAGCTGAGAAAGAGGGAAGGCAAAATTGACACAACACACAGACAAGAGCGTATAGTAGTGTAGAGACTAGAGTAGTGGTTAGACCACACGTCTTTGGAGCAGAGGATCGCAAGTTTGATTCCCACCTGGAGTGACTGTATCTTAGGCTAGACTAGACTCGACTCCCCACCACCCTGCTAAGCGATCAACAAGGTCTTTGTCAGGTGTTGTGGAACCAGGACACCCTGACAAGAAGGAAGGTACAAATTAAGTGCTATGGCAAGGGAGAGCCAGGTCAGGGGCAGTTATCATCACCCCCATATTAGGTCTGCTAGATGTTAATGTCTATCAAGACTAACTAGATCACTACAATAGGGCAGCAGTAATCAGTGAGGTTCTTGGCTGAAAGGGCAGGAGGCTAAGATCAAGGTAGCACATAGGGAGGTTGCAGAAGTACAGGAACCATGCCTCAGATATGCCAAGCAACAACTACACCAGAGAGATTGATGGAAAGATATGGCCAGTAACCATCACACTGGCCTTCTTTTTCCAGGGCATGGGCTAAAAGTCATGCTGGCTGTCTGCCACTGTGATGGTTACTGGTTCCACATCTTTCTCCACAGAATACCTTGGTTCTGTGGAGAACAGCTGGTTTATTCTCCTGCCTTTGATCTTGCTGGTGTAGTTGTTGCTTGGCAGGTATGGACAGGTTCTTGTACTTCTGCAACCTCCCTCCATGCTACCCTGATCTTAGCCTCCTGCCCTTTCAGCCAAGAATCTCACTGATTACTGCTGCCCTATTGTAGTTAGTCTCGATAATGGCGGCTGCAGATATTTTCCACAGTGCTGCACAGACCTTGTTGATCGCTTAGCAGGGGGGAGTTCTAGTCTAGGCTAGCCTAAGGACCCTTATTGGATACAGACACTCCAGGTGGGAATCAAACTTGCGATCCTCTGCTCTAAAGACGTGTAGTCTAACCACTACTCTAGTCTCTACACTACTATACTCTTTTGTCTGTGTGTTGTGTCAATTTTGCCTTCCCTCTTTCTCAGCTGTTTGGAGGCAGGCTAGGCGTACCTTTATCACACATCTTTTCTATTTTTAATGAAACATATGTCATTTTCTTTAGGCAGATCTTATTTCATACACTCTCCCTGTTACAATATATATATCTCTATCTATCTGTATATATGAATAAACAGAAACAAAAGCAGCTGGACAGTGTAGCGGTAAAACTCCATCCCTTTGGAATAGGGGTTGCAGGTTTGATTCTCACGTGTAGTGTTTGTATCCAGTAAAGGTCCTTGCTAACCAAGCTTAACGCAGAGAGAGGACTCTAGTAAGGTCTACATCAGGTGTTGAGGAACCAGAGACTCGGTGGGCAAGAAACGAAAATAGCGAGCTGCTACATGAATAGGATGATGGAATTTTCATCCATATTGATGGCAAAACAGTGATTGTAGCTGCAGTGTTCCAACATTTGGAATAAGATAATGAGCTAGAGACTAGCTACAGATTGACAAGCTACAACATACATGCTACGGCAAGGGGGAGCCAGGACGACAAGTTAACCCGAGATTGGGCACCAAGCCCTGTACAAGATGAGCTTTGATATATACGCTGATTTGATGTAAACCAAGATTCCTTCATTTCAGTTAGGGCAGGGGTCTGCAACCTTTAACACCCAAAAAGCCACTTGGACCCGGTTTCCACGCAAAAGAAAACACTAGGAGCAGCAAATACTTTTTGAAATCTAAAATGAAGATAACACTGTATATATTGTGGTTTTTACCTTTATGCTTTGTGTGAACAACTAAAGTAAGTAAGTAAAGTTTATTTATCAAGGGCTTTTCATAGACAGGCAGTCACAAAGCACTGTACACAAATATTAAAATAAACAATACAATCAATAGACATTATACACAATGTAAAAGATAAAATGTAAATAATGTAAAGAATATAAAATACGTAGATCAACAAAAGGCTTGTTTGAACAGAAAAGTTTTTAACTGATTTTTAAAAGAATCCACAGAGCAACTAAGGTGTGTTGCTTATGAAATCCATGAAGTGCTACAGAGAAAATTACATTTTATTTATGTAATTAACACATTTTGAACTCTTAAAGAAATATAAGAAAAGGAAAGACACCCAGCTGAACTAAAATGATCCATGTAGCAAACAAAAACAGTTGTGAGCCGCCACCCTTATATCGCCTTTGGGCTTTTGGAGCCTTGACCTGACTTTTTAAAAAATAATTTGAAAAAAAGCACTATGCTGCTAAAAAAAAAAAAAAAGATATTTGCAAAATTCTGCCTAAATATTTTTTTTGCCTGGTTAATGTGTGTGGCGGGGCGTGGTCTGCAGCTGCATGGGAGTCGGACGCACCTGAGCGGCACCCACAATCACGCCTCGCCGCCTTAAAGTATGTCCTCTCTCTGCTGTTGTGTTGTCGGGCTGTGAGCTGAAAAGCTACAGCCGGCTGTATGCGTACAACAACCGTGTGTGAAAAGCGATCGATAAAGAGATGCTGAAAAGCGTGTTCATGCAAACATCGTCGGGTCTACCGTGATATCTTTATAATGGGACTTCTGCTCCTGAACCTCTGCGCACAGCGTCTGCAAATCGGGGCTGTACGAAGTCACTTTCATCTTCACGCAGGACTGTAAGCGGTCATCTGTGAGGCGTGAGCCCCGGTGTTTGTTTTTAACATAGTTCACTGTGGAGAACAGCTGCCGACATAATATGGATCCGAAGATCCATAATTGGCCTACCTGGGGTCGAAAGTCTCGATAAATGCATGGCATTTCGGCGGGTATACCGGCTTCCGCGAGTGTGACGCTTATTTTGAGCGATGAAAAAATAATAAGATATAATTTTATTTTTATATTTCAAAATCACAATAATCTTCCAATTTAGAACTACAAGTTAAAAAAAGAACTAAACACAAATAAAATACACTTCAGCTAAATACTTCTAATTTCATTTCCCAAACCACCCGGAGCTGCAAAATAAAGACTAAAGAGCCACATGCGGCTCCGGAGCCGCGGGTTGCCGACCCCTGAGTTAGGGGGTTAGGGTTAAATTAGACTTGCTGAACACAATAATAGCTCATTTTGTAAATTACATTTAAAAAAGGGATTAATCAGAAGGGTGCCAATGAGACAAAGAGACACTGCCTTCCCAACGTGGTCCCTAACTCAGCTGGAGGCTTCACAACAGGAATTCACTAACCAATAGGTAATGTGGCAGTGGCTGCATTCATCCTTTATATACAGCCTATGGAAAAATCACATATTAAATTGCTAGAAAGACATATTGATTAAAACGTTGTCACAGGAAGAGTCATTCCTTTGCAGAACAATTTAAGTGTGACACTGCGAGTGGACCACAGAAATACCCTTTTGCTCATAAAACTTCCTAATGTATTCAGCAATGGCGCGCTCATGATTAAGCTCTTTCCTGAACAACATAATATAACATTTTGGGGCCAAATGACAACCAAGGATGCTGAAGCAGGAAGTGAGGATGGCTGCACTTTGTACTGCTGGTTGGTATTTCCCTGTCAAGGTCAAATAAATGGGGAGGAAGATGATCCACATGACTATAAACAGCAGCATACTGATGGTGATCAAAGAAGCATTTTTGTACAAATCTGGCAGCTGTCTACCTTTGAATGCAAACAGGAAACAAATAAGGCCCAAGAAAGTGTTGTAGACTAACATGGCTATAAAGTATGTATGGGGCTCAATCTTACAGTTGTATAGGATAGTGTAATCTAAAGATTTATTGTCAGGATGTGGTGGTTCTTTGGTCAGCCATGAGACAGATAGGCCTAACTGAATCCCAGAGATGATGGTCACCACCACCAATGGCTTATTCAGCTTCTTTATCCAAGACTCTGCCTTAAGGTCAAACTTGAAGCCCAAGAAGATCTGAAGCAAGTTTGCCAGAATGCAAGAGTTGCAGAGAGTAAAGGCTATGCCGAAGAGAGGAACACCTACACAGTGAATCTTCTCAGTAGGTTTGCCTATGAAGGTGAATGTAAGACAGAAGCCAGCCAGCAATGCAAAAAGCTCCAGAAAACACAAATAACCTCCAACTGCTTTCACAATGGGAGTTTTCAGATATACTGCAAACAGAACAGCAAACACAACGGTAGCAATGATCCCAACGACTGCAAGGGAGCTGAGAATGATTGAGAAGGGATCTTCCCAATCGAGATAGTCATCCCTTTTTTTCAAACATGTATTCTCTTTAGGATGAGAATATGCCCCATCTTCACAATGCTTGCATGTTGAATCTGCAGAAGGAAACAAAAACACAAGTAGCACAAGTAAAGAAGACAATATTTTTCTATCCTATAATCATTTGGAGAGAAAAAAAGCTGCAATCATAAATTAATATTAAACAGGCAAGTATAATGAATGCATAATGCACTTTGCACATTTAGGAAGACAAGATAGGCAATAAAATTACATCTGGACTCAGGACTCGAAATGCAGGACTCGCAACACGGGAATGAACTCAAAAGGACAGTTTATTGTAGACGCAGGAAAATGATACAACTAATGATGAAATAAACTAGACTGGGAAAATATAATCTAACGTTCCACAGAGTGGCACACAAAGGATCACATAGCATGAGGAACGACGCAACACGGAACAGAGGGGGACTCTGACATAAATACACAGAGGGTAATGAGGGAAGTGGAAGCACACAAGGAACACAGCTGAGGACAATTACACTTGACAGGAATGGGAGGACACGAAACTGAAAACGCTGACACCAAGACATGGACCTTAAACGTAACACAGGAAGTACAGAGAGAGAGAGAGAGAGAGAGAGAGAGAGAGAGAGAGAATGAAGAAATATACGAAGGGAAGACGAAAACACAGAACACAAGGGGTGGGAGCAAAGCACAATAACGCACATCATGATATAGACAGTCACACAGAGGGAGACACAGAAGGCAACGACACAGGGGGAACAAACAGACAGAGAAGACTTAAACACAGAAGACTAAAGTAATCGTTACATTCACCAAATGCTGGAGGGCACAGAGAAACAAGAGGGGATCAAAACCCAGGAAGCATAAAATAAATCACAAATGAACCAGACATAACACAAAAATCACAAAGAACTGAAAACACTAGGTCAGGAGACCCAGGACCCTGAGTGTGACTCCAAATCCAGACCTCCATGGGTTGCTACATTTGATTTCTATTGATAATTTTTGTGTGATTTTGTTGTAAGCACATTCAACTATGTAAAGAACAAAGTTTTTGAATATTTCATTCATTCAGATCTGCGTTACCTTTGTTTTTTTGAGCAGTGTAATTTAGATTTGGAATAAAAGACTTACGATTTCCATCAGAAATCTCTCCACTTGCACACGGAGCACAAACTCCGCAACACTTTCCTTTTAATGTAAATCCTTGTCCTCCTTCACATTTTTTTGAGCAATTGTAAACAGAGACCTGCAAAAGAAACAGTAGCATGAGTACATGATTCATAAACCTTAATGGGACATAAATGAATGTTAAAAACTCATCTCACCATGTCATTTATGAGGTGTCTGAAAAGGTCTGTTTGGACTGTAATTTTTCCATCTGGACTGTATTCTCCAATAGTTTGTATTATCATACTCTTGTTGCAATCAGACCTGTTCCAGTATACAATATCATATCCCAAACTGGGATCTCCATCACTATCGAAGTATATTTGTGTGTTGTTCTCAGTAAAGTTTACTTTCTGGATTTCCGATAGAAGCTGTGAAAAAACCAAAACATCATAAAGGAAGAAAGACATTTTTATGAAATAAAATCATCACAAACTGCAATATATTTGAAATTTTAATGTTTAACCTTTTCTAAGAAAAACTTACATATCTACCAATAAACAAGACAAATGTCGATAGTTTAGCAGTGGGTGCTGTGGAATGTGTAACATCTCTGCCCAGAAAAAGGGCAACATTGTGTAAAAGAAAATTGGAAAATTTGCAAATCATTTAAAATTTAAGAAGTTAATATTAATCATTGTTGTTGTTGTTGTTTTTAAATTGTTAGCTGTTTGGAGGTTATTGAAATGGTTTGTTTGGACTTTCAGCTGAGATTTTGACATTTTTGTAGGGACCACACATGTCTATATTTAAGTAACAGAATAATAATGAATAATAATGATAATGAAGTTATCTTGCAGGCCGGATATAATTGTATCTGGCTCGCGGGCCGTATGTTTGACACCCCTGGTTTAAATGATTGAACATTTGGACTGCAGGCAAGACAGCTTAGGGTGTTTTTAGTAAAGTGCCATGCTGCTGAAATATGTGCAGTTTCGCTGAAAGAGGA